CCCCCCCCCGCCGGGACCAGCCACGCTCTGCCGGTGCTCCGGCTGCACGCCTTCCTCCCGGCACCCCTCACCGGGACCGCGGTGCTCCTCAGCTGTCGGTGCTGGAGCGGTCAACTCCAAGACATTTCCCCAGGGAAGATCCTCTAACCTGCCTCCGAGGAGCATTTCTGGCCGTGATTACAGCACGGAGAGCGGCCGACAGCTGTGTACGCCGGAGGGAAGCCGCTCGCCCGGGCAGATGCTCGCCAGCTGTGGGGGAGCAGCCTTGTCCTCAGCTGCCCTGTGGAAAGAGCAGAGCAGCCCGCGACCTGTCGTGCTAACCTTACCCGAGCCTGAGCAGGCTCTGGGGTGCCTCCTGCCCCGGGTGCTCCTAGCTCACCTCCCTGCACAAACGATTTCTTTATAAAAAGCAGACAACGATCCTTAGTTCTGGAGAGGGAGGTGATGCGGGGTGGGGGGGCTGCACCTCCTGGTCCCAATGAAAGCCCCACTCCAGAGCCCTTTCTCATTCCAGCCAGCTGTGTCCGTCCTGAGCTCTTCTTTCTTTGTTGCCGTTAAACGCTGGGCTCTGGGCACACGGGTCCGGTTTGGTGCTGGTGTGAGCGGAGCCGCTCTGCTGGGCTCTCCGAAGCTCTGCCTGCCCGCCTCAGTACTCAGCCTGGCCCTAACCGCTGGGTGGAAATATTGTGGCTGAAGGGAATGTGAATCCTTTCGACCTGCCCTCCAGCAGCTCGGGAAAGGCAGGGATTGCAGAGTGCTTCCTCCTGGCAGCCCTTGGAGATAAATCGGGGGTCTGGACAAGTCTCTCAGAGCTTATACTGCTGCAGCCATTAACCTCTGAACAGAAGCTCTCCATGGATGTAACTGGAAAAAGAGAGTTTCACTGGGAGCTCGTCAAATCAATGTCACTCCAAGCGAGCGCCCTTGTGCCTTCGCGGGGGTCCAGACCTCCCTCCCTCCCAGCCTCCTCATGTCCCCTGCAGAGCCCCATCTCAGGGGATGCTGCTGGGGCGGCCGGCGCTGCCCGGGCATCTGCGACCAAAAGGACCAGATTTTGGAAACTGCGACCTCGACTGCCACGTGTGGTGACCCTGAGTGTCCTGGTGTCCAGCCCCTACCAGGAAGGCTGAAGGAAAAGAAGCCAAGAAAAAAGAAACACCCATGGCACTGTGGCGTCTTGATACCTGAAGAGTTTCCGACGTAGCGCAAACTCCCGCATGTGCCCTGGATAACGTCTCTTCCCCTGAAATGCTGTGATGGAAGCCCCCGCATGACACTGTCCCGCTGTGTGCAGCACTAGTGAGGAACACACTAACCACCCGAGCAGTGCCGCAGATTTATAGGCAGCTTCCAAATCTACCAGTTGGGTAGACTGAGAGATAAATAATATCCTCATTTTACAGAGAAAGAAACTGAAAATGGAGAGGTGAAGGGCAAGGCACAGGCGGATTTTGTCTGTGCTTATTTTCTAGTCACTGCCGGGTGACTTCTGCTGCAGAAGGAAGCCCGCAGCAAGACGTTCCCTGTTTCACACGCAGCCCACGCATGGGGCTGCCGGCTGCCCTGCATGGGTCCCTTGGGACCCCCAGAGCCGGGAGCTCCCAGTGCTTCGCTGCATGCCTGGGCAGGGAGGATGGCTCCGGGTCCCAGCAGGAGATGGGGGACCTTGATGGGTCAGGACCGTCAGGAGCCCCGGGGGCACAGGCAGAAGGAGGGGCTCCTGACTGGTTTGTCTCTTCCTTCCCCGGCAGGCCAGAGTGACACCGTGGAGGTCCCGGTTCGCCTGATCCCTGGAGAGAGACAGGCTGGCGACGGCACATCCCTCCCGGAGACGCCCAACCCCAAAATGGTGCGACCTCGTGGGGCTGGGGGGGGACGCCTCTGGGAAGCACTTTGCCCACGTGTGTGGGACTGTTGCGTTCACAGGGAGGGTCAACAACTTGAGTCCCTTCCTATTAACTCAGGAAAGCAGAAAAAAGGGAACGGGGGATGGATGTGTCTGCATGTAAACACTGCTGGTGGCTGAGAACATCCCTGCCTCAGAGCTCACCTCTGAGATCACCTCCCAGGCAATTAGTCAGCTTTAATAAATCTGGTGTCTCTCAGCGTCTTCCTGCAGCCGTGTGAGTGAGAGGCTCTGGGGGAGCTTCAGAAAAGGCAGAGTAGCCTTGGGTTGGGGTGAAGCACTCCTTTAAAGAGCAAGAGACTGGGGGCTAGCGGGTCCGTGGTGGCCGTCCTGTCCCCAGGACATTGCAGGTCTCTGGGGGCTCCACAAGCCCCGTCTCGATTCAGGCATCGACAGCAGCTCTTTGCCCTTTTTTTCAGATGTCAGCTGTCTATGCAGAATTAGAAAACCGCCTGATCGGCAGCTTTGCTGGCAAGATGGGTAACCCTGCCCTGCACCGAGCATCACCTCCTGCCCCAGAGCTGGCACACGCGGCAGGTAGCGTCCCGCTTCCCCCGGCGTGAAAAGAGGCAATTTTGGGGGGGTCTCAGGCGATGGTGGATGGTGCTGGCCAGGCAGGTGGAGGAGACATCTTTCTCTTGGTGCCATTTTATAACGAAGCAGTGACAGTGCCACATGTGAGCCCAGTGATGGCTCCTGCAAAGCTGTATCTGCGGGAGGACAACGGAGTGGGTGGGATGGCAAATCCCGCGGGACCCCAGCACACCACTGTGCAGCGCAGGGCACTGCCCGGGGGATCTCTCCTCCCTGCAGGCTGCACCGTTATCTCGTATCACATTCAGCGCGGTGCTGGGGCTCATGGCAGCCATGGTGGGGGGCTCTGGGGAGCGGCTGGTGTAGGACCCCCCTCGACAGCGCTCTGTCCCGCAGGTGCTCGTAAGCCGGGGATGGCGATCTCGTGGCCAAGCGACCCTCTGGCCTCCCAGCAGTGCTATTACCGCCTGCACAGCAGCGTGGCTTCCCCGAGCAGCACTGAGTCCAACCCCTACGTC